ATCTCGAATTGCTTAAAATATGGTAAACGAAAAATGTAACATAGTATTTCAATAAAACATATTTTACCTGATTGGGCGTGCAAAATTTTACATATAATTAATTTAATTTGAACACTGTTATTGGACATGCACAAGAAATAATCAGTCAATCAATAGCAATAAAATAATACATTTAAGCTTCTTTTTATGAATTAATATTATTCATGATTATCACATTAACGTACTACGTATAACCTAAACAATCAGTCACTTTTCATTTTTTATCTCTAAGCCATACACTAAGTCTATTTCTGAATAAATTATTTGGTATCGTTATATTGTCTTTTCGTAGAGCATTATAAATTCGGACACACATACTATTGCATTGATTTTTGTAGTAAGATAAACTAGGTTTATTATTGTAGACTGGTCTATTTGGGTCCCTCACATTTCTACTGTATAAGTCTGTAATTTTTTCGAGATTTAGGTTTTGCTTAACAAACCATGGCACTTCTAAATTCTTCTAGGTTAGGTTAGACTTATTGTATATCGATTTAGACCACTTTGGGAATCATCGCTTTAGACGTTTCGCCGAACTGCGCTAATTAATTATCTAAAATACATATTGAATTGGTTACTTAGTATTAGGCAATACTATTGAATGCCAATAACGTACCCATAGAAACTTCTATGAATAAGAATAACAACGAAGAACAGAAATAAGAGAAAATATTTATTTCATTATCATAAATGACACCATAGAAGGAAAACCAAGGTAATAATTAGAAGGAATAAGGAATAAGGACCTTGGTATAATAAAGCCACATGTGATCATAGGTCAAATGTGTTTCTATCTGACAAGAAACAAATTTAAGCATAAAAAATATCGACTAATTTGATTGCTATAATGTTTGCACCTCTGTCCTGAAAAGTCGTCATTTTGCAGTTGTGGCATCATTACACGAACAAGGTTGCGAAATATATACAGAGTAAAAGTAAAAAATACAATATAAGGAAAAATACATAAATAGAAACAAAATTACAATCACAAATTTAAATAAAATTAAAACCACAAATTTTTTACAAAACATTAAACATGAAGGCATTTTTTGTGGTGCCAGCTTTGGTAACAAAAGTTGTTGAGCGCTGACATATTCAAATCCTAAAAATATAGTTATTTAGCACCAAAACTATAGACAGTAGAGAATTTATATTGGTATGTACTTTAAAAAGAAATCATTCGTAAAAACGGAACCGTTGAAAAAGGAAACTCGCTGAGCAAGTCACTCAAGGGAAAAAATAAAACGAGCATCCAGACCCTAACGACCGTCAAGGGATGTCATTAGTTGATCCTGATGTCCACTGCTGCATGACTCGAATTAGACACGAATTCTTGTTACATTTACCGGAAATGTCACGAAATTGACGACATTTTTTTTAATAGATACTTAATTTCGTGACAGAGACTACTTATTTTATTTTATTTATTCACTTAAATCAGGCAACATGACCCATATAATATATGGGTCATGTTGTATATTTTATATTTAAAATAAATACAACGATCCGACAACAAGCACATAGAAAAATTCGTGAGATCCGCTGGTTCGTTAGCACAGTTTGCTAGAAGACGTCGGTTTGAATCCGGTCAGATTTTTTGTGTGGGTGTTCGATCTTTGTGTTAATAATTATAATAATAATATCCGTATATCCGTCTAACGGATGGATGACACACATGAATACATTCACACATTCCACACAATTACACATATAGATACATATACACGTACTTCCACTCTCACACACTAACAATAGTGAAATTTGTATTAGTTGTAACACCAGTTATAGTAGATATTAAGGTAGTCTGTTTCATTATCTTAAAATTATATAAGAGTAAGATTACTATTAATATTATAGAAGAGCGATGTTTCCTAAAAACAGGCCCTAACAAGCCTAAATGGAAATATCCGCCCCTGTACTATGTCCTTTAAAATGAATGAATAAAACATTTTATTTATTTATTTATTTTTATAATAAATAATAAAGCACATACTCAACATAGCCCCGCACTAGGGAAACCGTGTCGGGGGTGCCATAGATACACACGTAGACAACCACAAATTAGACCCATACTCACGAGAGAAATAAATGTAGGCTGTAAACTCATTTGCAAAAAACGGGCAACTTTGATTTTTTCCCTGCCTGAAATAATTACAATACGAAAAAGGTTTTATTCATTCAAAAATGTCACTGGCTTGTTAATTAAGTGTCCTCATTTGTAAAAACATTCGTTCGAAATTCAAATTTAAGAGATAAAATCTGTCTACAAGAAAATTACTCTTCACTGCTTAGAACGGCGGGAATTGTTGAAAGTTCACATGAACTTATTAATCATTTTTAAATAAATTTTGACAAATTTTCTTGTTTATTCATCATTTTAAGTTATTGTGTCATTACTAAGTGGTGTCTAAAATGGTTGACAAAACAATAATAGCCAGCAAAATTATAGCGCTGCATGAAGAAAATTGTTCGTCAGGAGGAGGCTTCTTACTACCAATATACGCAGTCATTGCTCAGTTCGTGGCCCTAAATTACTCCGTGAGCATAAAGTTGCTAGACTTAACTTCGCTAGAAACCATGCTACATGGACTCAAGAGGACTGGAGAAGAGTATTGTTCTCTGATGAAGCCCAGATTTCTCTGTGTGGTGAAGACAACCGTCAGCGAGTGCTACGAAGACCAGGGGAACGCTTTGTAGACGTCGTTTTGAAGAAGTCACCACTTATGGTAGAGGCTCCGTCATGTTTTAGGCAGCGATTAATTCAATAAACCGTACGGATTTAGTCTTCATCGAAAATGGCACATTGAATGCACACCGACACATGACGGAGATCTTAATTCACACCTCATCCAAGTACAACCCGCATTGACTGTTCTTGGAGAAGATTCTATTTTTATGGATGACAACGCTCGCGTCCACCGTTCTGGCGACGTGGAAGCGTATATTCAAGAGGTTGGAATCCGGCGTTTGCATTGGCCAGCTCAAAGTCCCGACCTCAATCTTATCAATCTTACCACCAGGCGCTTGCTTGTTCACTTGTGGTATCTTAAAATAAAAAGAACAAAAATATTGCATTTCAATTAAGCGCTATATACCTATATTCTATATGACTTTAAGCATGTAGAAAAATTTATCATACAAAAGTGCATTAATACATTACACAATTAAACATACTTAGGTACTTGGATCTGAAGCAGACCGGAAGCATGTAATTTTATATTTGGTACACTTTAATGTACATTGCGCGTTTAGCTCTCAAGTTATCTGGGTCTTAGGAGGTTGAATAATACTTTCCTTTCCTCATTAATTGGAGCACGATTTACCAGAGACTGTTTACAAACGAAAGAAATAAATCGTGTTAACGTAACGTATTCCTATCAAGTGAGGGCAATTTATTGCGAACGAGATGTATTTTATTTTGGCTTTATTCCAATTGGGGTGCCCTTCGAAAGTTTTAATTGGCTACCCAGTCATTTCAAGAAAGGACAACAGTTTTATTTGACTTCATGAAATTAAGATATAAAACAGCCATTTGCATTTTAACTGGGACAAACAGTGGTATTTGACTTTAATATTCGCTCAAAACTTTAGTCGTTGGCTAAACACTGAAGTCGAGATAAAACTTTTTTGTAATTGGTCATTGGGCAAATCTTGCTTTGATGAAATAAAAAAAATCTATGCGGCCTAAGGGTTTCCCAGACAGTCTATTAATTTTTTGGATAAAATTTTGTACAGATGAAGAGCACTGGGACCCCACGTGCCAAGGATTTCGACTCCAAAGACTGTAAATAGGTACTCGGAGCCGATATTCTGCTACTTATTACTTTTTATTCTTTACGCCAGCTCAGTTGCGGAGCCAGCCCTCTTGCTAGTGTGCTGGAGATGGGATGGTGCAAGTGTGTCGGCACATGTGGCGTCCCACACCAGTGCCCGGCCCATACTCCAAGGGATGAGAGTCATCGTCCGGGTGTTTAAGAGTGTGCGTTATTATTATTACTATTATCTGTTCGCGACATGCCGCTTTCAAAAGTTCAATATTGCAGCTGCATGTCAAGCTGGCGTAATTTTTTTTTTGTCAAAAATATGTTTCTCGTAAGTTCCTATGATAATAAAGTCCAGCGTACGTAGACCGACTAAATAAATATCAGTACGTAAGTACGCAGTACAAAGAAACTAAAACATCTTTCTTTTCACATTTCAATTTACGGCAGCTGTCTATGACTTTCCTAACATAGCATTTCATTCATTTTCGAGTACAATGCAAACAAGAGTAAACAAAAACTGTTTAATTTAAAAAAATTAATATACACACGCCTACACATCAAGGTACACATTGACGTATCTTGGTCCGTTGGACTGGAGGCGATTTTCGAACAAAAATGTGTAGTCTTATGTGCCGTTGTCCGTACATGTTCGAGTTTTGCCGGTATTATCTAATTGTTATATTTACACAATATTTTCTATAAATAAATATTATGTACCAGTAGTAAATGCAGCGCAAATAAATAAAACCACAGCAGCTGAGTAAATACGACGAAAACCATATAAAATCGTAATTTAATTTTAAATCATAACCTGTTTTATTTTTAAAAATAGTAGTTTCACAAACACACATACTAAATCTATGGGCACCACGACAATTGTGCGAAAAATTTACCACTGGCGCCATCTATCGTTGACAGTCCATATTACTACAAAAGCAAAGGAACTGGGAAGTATTCCTCCAAAAGGTAGCACGACTGGTTGGCGCGCGCTGGTGGCAAGCCTGATAAGTACACAGCCTAAGTCTTATGTAATGTTGTGTTGATATAAACACTTATAGTATATATACTGATATTACACAACTTATTAGGTACTTACTTCCTCCGCTCACTTACATAACCATTATTGATTCATTGTGTAACCATATTAAATAAACATCAGAAACCAATTAGGGAATTAAAAATACACTTTGAAATTTTCTTCACATGTATATTTAAAATGAAAAAGTAAATGGAAAAATTTAAATACACTTAGGTAAAATTTGGTGCAAAAGTTGGTATTGGGGCCAGATACAATTTGGTGCAAATGTTGGTATTGGGGCCCTAGGTTTACAACCTAGACAATGAGTAAAGCTTAAATTACGTGGAATAAAATCTGAGATAAAAACACTTATTGATCATCAGTGTGACCATCAGGGTCCACAGTACCACTCTTAAATTTCTTAGCTTGTGTACCCTCTGAATCATTGGTAGATTCTTCCTTACATAGCTCATGTAAATTATACTTCTTATAAGTAAAATAATTGTCCACAATGCTTAATAAACAAATGCCTTTTATGATTTCCACTATTATACAGAGCCTCGGATTCTTCAAGTCGGCCTTGTTGTCGCCGTTCTTGAGAACAACAAGTTCTGCAAGCTCCTTTATTATCAGGTCCCGAGAAACACTGCTGTTGAATCTCTTGTTAAAGATCACAGCAAACGTAGAGGGCTCCTTCAAGAAGTACTTGTCAAACAAATTGCCAGCACACTCCATTATATCAGGCAAGTTAGCTTTGCAAGTTGCCATGATAGGGAGTAAGCGCATGACATGTCGAGTCTTCTGTATTTTGGTAGTAGACAGATCTTTGATGATGGCAGCAGTCAGTTCTTCTGGACACGGCAAGTTGGTCTTTATAAAGATGCAGTTCGAAGCGCCTGTCTCTACAACTTGAAACCTTTTGTGCTTGAGTGACTTTTGTGAATTTCTCTTCATGGAATCAACCTCGCGCTTCAGCAAGTCTCCTATGTCAGTCTCCTCTTCGGATTCACTGTCTGACTTATCTTCTTTTATGGTGGGTGCAGTGGGGACGTCTCTTTCGAGGTTTGGATATAAAATTCCTGTGTATTCATTCAGCAGGTTGTACACTTCTTTGACGCAGTCCTTCTCCCTAAAGTTACACGTGCAAAAGAATCCTCTGAAGCCGGATTCTAAGAAATATTTGTTTCTACGCTTGCGAAAGTAGAACTTTTTCTTCTTCCTCGTGTCACCCATTTTGACGTATAGTTAGCAAACTTGGTGCTGGTACAGTTGACGCCCGAAGGGTATGATATAACAGATATTATTACGTATCGAATTGAATAATTAAGAATTCATTATAACACAACCCAGTCCAACAACAGGCACCCCATTCGTCAAATGTCAATGTCAATGTCAAGCAACCGTCAACGTCAACTGTCACTTAATTTTCGTCCGGAAAGCGAATCCTCTTTTTATTTATTTTAATCAGGCAACTACACATTAATAGTGTTGAGTCAGTTACAAACAGGAAAAATATTTCAGAAAATAAATATTTTTAGGGATATTTTTCCACATTTGACGTTGTCACCTGTCAAAACTTGAAGTTAATAAACGAAAACGTGCCATTTTAACGTTTTTTTTCGCTGCTGTCCAATCATTTAAAATCTTATTTTCTCTACCTTACTTTTATATAAGTATAAAATAAATTTTTATTTTATATTATAACCAATGATTGGAAAAAGGTGTTTCACATAGTAGATACATGTATAGATATAGCTTTCAAACAACAAAGACAAAGAGCAACTTAGTTGTTAAAACCATCAAATATTAATTAATAACTTTTTCGAATTCTGGATTTCCGGATGAAAGAAATTAATAAACATAATAATATATAAGTATAAAATAAAATTTTAATTTATATTATAACCAATTGTTGGAAAAAAGGTGTTCCACATATGTAGATACATGTATAGACATAGCTTTCAAACAACAGAGATAAAGAGCGAAATAGAGTTGTTAAAACCATCAAATATTCATTAATAACTTTCTCAAATTCCGTATTTCAGGATGAAAAAAATTAATTTCTTTATTCTATTTAAGAAGATAAATTGCCGTACAAATGACACTTTTTCGCCTGTGTTAAGCGTGTAACAGTTTTTTTTTGATAAAACTTTTTAAAATAATCTAGTCTGAACATTTTCCTTTTAAAATACAACATTTCTGCTAGTGGTTCGAATTTATAAACATCTGTTATACTGTGTTTTTGAATTTATACAAAATATTTTTATAGCATGATCGCAACGCGCGATTCTCATGCAAACTAAAATGTCTTAAAATCATTCGTAAATTATAACATTTTATATGAATTTTTCCTTCAGTTCTACTAGCAAATGTCGCCGTTCCGTCAATATGCGGTATTTAAAGCTGGATAGGCTTTAAATACCGCATATTGACTGCTCTCATAACTTTTTTATTCTCTGTTTTGGTAAACGGACAGTTATCTACAGAATTTTTTACTTGGTACCATTAGAATTACTTTGAAATCCAACTTCGACTTCCTAAGTCAGTAGTTTTGTTCTACGATGCAGTAAAACCATTTCCGGAAAATCGGAATTCGAAACAGTAATTAATTAATGTTTGGTGGTTTTAATAACTCTATGTCGCTCCTTGTAGCTATATCTATATATGTGGAACACCTTTTTCCGATCATTGATTATAACTCACGCTAAATAGAACTTCAAAAGATATTTTTAAACAAAGAACATAATAATTATGCGCCTTTGAATTATATTTTATCAATTTCCCAATTTTTCAAAAATATTTCCGGCAAAATTTCCACAATTTGAAATTTTTCGGAAAATTACCCAACATTAATCAGAGATGGGCACGCTTTGTTCACGCCGAGTTCAATCGGGTTAAACCCATTAACGCCTTAAATCGAAAGCAAAAACGATTTACAACTATCTACATATTTTATAAATAAGTTTAGTTTAAGTGTAACGATATTATTATAAATGTTTATTGCTTGCTTGAAAAATTAGTAGGTAGTAGTAACGTAGGGCTGTTCGTATTATCGATGAACCCAAACTCACAGACGGTATGGAGCGTTGGCTCTCTGTGTGTGTTCTACCGTCTTTATAATGGGGAGTGCTCTGATGAACTTTTCGAAGTGGTGCCACCGTCTCGTTTCCACCATCGCACCTCCCGCCAAAGGAGTAGAGTCCATCCCCACATCTTAGATGCCTGGCATTGTAAGACCACACGGGCATCTCGTTCGTTCCTTCCTCGAACCTGCAAGATGTGGAATGATCTTCCTCCTGAAGTGTTCCCTTTGCGCTATGACATACTGCAGCAGGACATTGATAGGATCATAGATTGGAGTCTTGCTAACAAATTATATTTTAATGTAACAAAATGTTCTGTGTTATCATTTAGCCGTGCGAGTAGTCCGAGTCATCATCAATACCACATAGATGGAACGCCGCTGCAGCGTGTTTTTAAGGTTAAGGACCTAGGAGTGACCTTCACTGGCGACATTAATTTTCGGAGTCATATCATTGAAGTGTGTAAAAAAGCGTATCGTATAATCTGGGATTGGTGTTACGTCTGGCAAATAAATTCACGAATATAAGCGCTTTGAGAGCATTATACGAGGCCCTAGTAAAAAGTCATCTCGAATGCAACGCTGTAATTAGGTCGCCACACGAAGCCAAATACAAATTAATGATAGAACGCACCCAGAACAAGTTCGTTAGATACCTATATTTAAAACAGTATGGTGTGTATCCAGGTTATGCACTGTTATATCCTACCCTATTTGTACTCGGCATATTAGGCTATTATAGACTGGAAGTAAGAAGAGAAGTAGCTCTCGCCACTTACTTATTAAAAGTACTGCGTGGTAAGATACACAACCCATGTGTTCTAAACACAGTTCAGCTGTATGTACCTGACGGGTACGTAGGGCGACGCCGGCGGCCGCCGCTGATGTGGGTGCAGCGCGCGCGCACCAATCTGCTGCACAACGCGGCCCATATGCGGGCGCTGCGTGCCCTCAACGCGGTATCACACGACATTGATTTGTTCGATTGTACTCTGAATGAATTCGCACAGGCCGTATATTGTAGAATATCAATGGAAGTTTGTTATAGTTAACATGTACGTAAAATATTTTGTTAGTAACTACACTATTGTATTAGGTTATACCTGTAATGATAGTTGTAAGAGGTAAAAATAAATAAATAAAAATGACATGGGGTTCTTCAAAAAGCGTGTTTACAGGGCTCTCAAAGGCTGGCAACGCATAGACAGCTCATCTGATGTTGCAAATGTCCATGGGCGACGATGGCCACCTCCCATCAAGTGGCTCGTCGGCTTGTTTGCCTCCTTCTTTACATTAAAAAAAAATAAAAATAAATTCGCTTGAAAATCGTATAAAACTTACTCGTTGTCGTTTTTATACGATGATATAAGTATAATTGAATCGATTTTCATACAAATCAAACAGTAATGTGCATTTCTAGTAGTAAGTGAGAGTGGTATTGCGTAGAGTTGCCTCTTTTTCGTCTAAAACAGATTTTTGTATCCAAATTTTTAATAGGTATGAAATTACCAAATTCCGCGTTCGCCGTTTCAGTCCATGATTTTGGGTGGAAATGGGTTAAAACCCGGCTTTGGGTAAAATCCTGGTTAAGTCCTGGGCGGGTTGATTGGGGTTTAACCACAGGTTTTAACCCACTGCCCATCTCTGACAGTAACAAATACTGTTGGGTAATTTTCCGAAAATATTTCAATTACTTAATGGAAATATTATCAGAAAAAATTCTGAAAATTTGGAAACATATAATTCGAAGGCTCATATTGTGTTTTACGTTTAGATACTTCATTTGAAGCTTTATTTAGCGTGAATTATAAAATATAATTGTAAAGCAACCAAGTATTGTAGGACTAAAATAAGATTTAGAATGCTTGGTTGAGAAACGAAGCGTGCATTGTAAGTGCCTGAAGTTTGAACATAATATCGACGCAAAGTATTTATAAAATAGAATACCTATACTTTTACGCGACGTAATCCGTGGATGTATTGACCATGAAAAAGAAAAAACCGAATGATTAAAACTTGTTTATTTCGTAAAAATATTCTTTATTTGGCATTACATATATGAAATTCTAAAGAATTTTCTTATCATTATACATAAATATAACTAGGATTAACATAAGTTTAATTTACAATCCATCTTAGACATAATCTAATATATCAAATACTTCTATAATACTTTTGAGATATAGCATACGGGACTTATGGGATAAAATTAAGTGCGTTGCCCACATTGGTACATTTATTTAGTCTACTTTTTTAGTCTACAGTATTTTGTTTTCATTATCGTAGGCACATTTGCGACGACTGGTTTATTCATTTTCGGGCAAACGGTGATTCTGGAAAGATATAAAATATTTGTTAACTTTGAAACTGAAAAACATTGTGCCGATGCAGTTTTTACAATATTAACGTAAGTATGTTTGAAATACATTAGATTTACTGTTTTTATCGCAAACACGGCAGCATTGCCATTATGTTCCATGTTCTTTTTTTTATAAAAAGAAAGCGCGCTGTTCATATATCCAGAATTAAGTATTGCAATGGATTTTTGGATTTTGTTTTTGTGGATTTCTTGCACTGCCCCAATTCAAGGGTAACCTATCACAAAGTCGAAAATTTTTTGTCCGAAATAACGTTTGTTCGAATTTTCATTACACCGAAAACCGAATTATAATGAAACAGTTGTTCTTTCAGGATATATTGAATGTTTATCGCAAAGACACGATTAGGTTCGGTGAGGTTAGGTTAAGTTAGATTTTAAAAAAATTTCTTCTCAAAATTACTTTCGAGGTTATGAAATTTCGACCAAACGTTATTTCTGGAAAATGTCATTTCGGACTACTGATAGGTAACTCAATTCACTCAATTCAAGAGATACGTTATAAGTGTGTGCTGTAATGACAATAATTTTATTATAGGTTATTTCACTGACACTCATTTAAAACAAAATACTAACGTTTAGTAGAACACTAGTAAAAACCCTAAAATAATGCGGTCTTAGGTGTCGATACTACGAATTCATTTTTTTCTAGTAAGTAATACATACGGTTCATTTTGCTTGCCTCGAGCGGCTGGGATACTGGCTTTATTTCGGAATTTATTTTTTTACAAACGAAATTAAAGCTATTTGAAAAATGTTTATCGTATACTATACCAATTCTACTTAGTTCAGTTGATATAAAAAAAATCATTGATATAATTACAGTACCTATTAAAATCAGGAATTAGAAAAAAACTGGTAACTTGCTTGTGACATCACAACTGTAGTGACGTCATACTAGCTAAAGCAAAAAAGTTACTGACGAATTGTAGGTAATATCGTACACGTGTGTAAGGCGACTGTAACGCAATTTTGTCTTCTGCACTTCAAGCTTGAACTGCAAGCAAGCACTTTGCTTGCTTGCAGTTCAAGCTTGACCTTGAGCTTGAAGCTTGTTTCAAGCAAACTTTGGACCGTACTTATTGCAAGCGGCATATACTTGAATTTAAATCTCAAGTGTCAAGCTCAACTGTGGAACAAACCGTCTAATGATGATATTCTGGAATCATACTTACACGGTATTGTACTCAATGGAAGATAGCTTGATCTGCTCAACATATACGCTCGGGGATTTAAGTAACCGCCATGTGATAGGGTTGAATAGATTCGTCTCGTATTTCCATTCGACGATAACCGACAATGGTGGGTAGCCCGTGCCTTTGAATGGCACCATCTTGTGTTCTATGTCACCGGGCTTGTAGTATTTTCTGAAAAAAAAAAAGGAAAAAAAAGGAATAAGAATTTTTGATATTATGTTATCAATTAAAAGTTAACGAACGGTTATCATGCTAATCTGCTACGCAGCGATCCCGGGTTTGATTCCCGGGGCGTGAGACATAATATGTATGACCAACATTTATTTCTCTCGTGAGTTTGGGTGTAATTTATGGTGTTCTATTTGTGTGTCCATGGCACTCGCGACACAGAGTTTCTCGAGTGCGGGGCTATGAGTGTGTTGATATAGTTGTTATTATTATAATATCAATATATGAGGGGAATTAATTTGTTTATTCATTCTTTTTACCATTATAGCACAGACAATAAGTGGATGCTGATAAGCAATAACATGTCAGTCAACAAAATCAGTTTTGAGAAAATGGCAAATCGATACCGCCAATGAACATTTTTTTTTGGTCATTGTCTGTTATTTTTGCAACAACCATATTTGTTTACTAATATTATTTTTGCTTTGCACTTACGCTGTTATATAATATACTGTTCTTTTTTCTATTTTCTTCATCTATCTTTTCTAACTGTATTTCTTCGCTGTTGCCTGTGCTAGTGCTTGTGCCAAATTTCTTATTGTGCCTTCTGTATTTTGTGTGTCGTTGTGGACTGACATTATACGCATACACGTAAGTCGGACTATTTATTCTAACCGTTTACCGAACCGTGTGTTAACTGTGTTAAAAATTTTGTAAAAATACGAAAAAACGAAACAAAAACAAAATACAAAAAAAAAATGTGAAAAAAAAAAACAAAATAAAACAGAAAAGGTCCAAAAATTAAGTTAGTATGGTTTTCATTGCTGGTATCGAAATGGTGACAACAGCAGTTTTTTTACATGTAAATTTTAGAACAAACTATCAAATAGGTACAACAAAAAATCTTTAGGTGTCATATTCGCAAACCATGAAAATGTTGGTTGACACATTAGCGCTTATCAACGTCCAAGTAGGAAACTATTGATTTCTTCGAGTGGCAGTTTTTTCAAAGGAAAATAATAATGTACAGACAACCACAGCAATTACCTGATCTCAAAGTAAGTCCCTGTACTATGAATACCAGAGCAACGAAGTTTTAATTCAGCAGAGCTCCTTGTGAAAGAGTTCGTCCAAAGAAGTGCTGCCACCTTACATGTCTGTCGCCAAGCAGTAATGTCCGCATTACTGCGTTCCGGTTTTGAAGGGTAAGGGTGCTAGTGAAATTACAAGCACATGGGACTTGTCAACTTGTGTCTGCTAAGGACAGGCGGGCTTGTCGCTTACAACCAGGCACACGACTTGTTCGTCCCGTCACTCGCTATCATAAAAAAAAAGTCCACTCCCAGACCAGGACCAATATAGAAAGGTTCATTTCCCCAAATTGTTACTACCGAGAATAGGATCCGGGACCTCCTTATCCAATGCCCAGTGCTAATCGTTGTATAGATATTGTACATTCGATGTGAAATTTACGTTAATCACCATAACTATATCTACTATAATCATCTCTGTTATCACGCTTCAGTGTTTTTCATTTTACATTGAACCAAGACCTTGATCCAAATTTGTGCGCATGTTAATTAGAAGACGATAACAATCCATACAAGTTTAAGGCAAATGACTTATCGGTCAAGTTCAACTACATAACAAAAGCAATGTGACGTCATGTCTGTTAATGATTTAAACTTACGTTAAATGTTGACGTATGGAAACAAAACAATATTATTTACTTGTATAAAAGAGTTCCGGGCATCCGGGTCACATAATGCAATATATAGGGCGCACTATAATTTTCGGGAACTGGCCACTTACATAAACAATATTTAAAAAGTAATTACAACATTTGAAAATGGAACTCTTTGGCTGTACAAGACAGTTTGTTTCATCTGACTGTCACTTGCTTTTACATTGTGGCGTCATTTTAGAAATTGGTTGTCTACATCACCATGGATTGAACTCGTGAAAATATTCGTGGTATGATTTTCTACGACTTTAGTGTAATGTGACAGCTCAGCGGAGCTTCGCTCCGCCTTAAACTACTTTTGACGATGAAGCACCATGCAAGTCGACTATTTATAGCGGGTTTGCAGAATTCAAACGCGGTCGTGTGAATCTCAGTGAAGAATTTCGTCGTAAACATCGATGAACATACCATCAGATTCGGGCATCTTTAGGCACAGGCATGAATCAAATACAATCAATACTACCAACATTTGGGTGTGAAAAAGCTGTGCTCTCGGTGGATCCCACACAATTTGACTGAGGCTCAAAAAACGGATCGCGTCACTTGGTGCAATGCCATGCTTATCAGATTCAACGAAAGGGCGTCAAATTTGGTGTGGGACATAGTAACAGGTGACGAAACATGGATTTATAGTTACGATACCAAAACAAAGCAGCAATCGAGCGTATGGGTTTTTCGAGATGAGCCTAAACCAACCAAAGTGGCGCGCGAGCAAGGTGCCTCCAAGCGGACGATTCCTTCTTTTTTTAACAAAACTGGACACGTAGCTACTGTTGCTTTGGAGAATCGTTGTACCGTGAATAGTGATTGGTACACTTCCATTTGTTTGCCGGAAGTTATTGACAAACTCCGTAAAAATAACCGTAAACGCCATATCATTTGCACCACGATAATGCCAGTTCTCACACGGCCAGACAGACAAATGAATTTTTGAAAGTGAACTACGTTGACCTTATGAGCCATCCCGCATACAGTTCCGACCTGGCACCTTGTGACTTTTATTTATTTCCAAAAATTAAGAACCAGTTACGCGGTCAACGATTGTCATCACCTGAAGAGGCTGTCGAAGAGTATGAAAAATGTGTTTCAGAGATTGTCACGGAGGAGTGGCATAAATGTTTTCAAAATTGGTTCATTAGTATCAAAAAGTGCATTAACGATATTTTGAGAAACAATAAATTCATTTCTGACTATTTATACTATTTTTTCTTATTCATTCCGGAAATTTATAGTGCGCCACACGTATAACAATTTACGACATTTCAATACGTCACACATAAGTTGTTTTTCACAATATTAAAGCTTTTTAACTTAAGTAAATACATCCTCTTTTGTGTACATTATAGGTTCCATTTTGTAAATAAAGAAAACATTTAGTGTTTTGTTTACGTTTAACATATAAAAATGAATATATATTATTTAAGTAAAAAAGAAAAAATACTATTACAACAACTTACGTGGAAGGTATCGATTTATACGCTATGATTTTTTTTTTGTGACGGGACGAACAAGACGTGCGCGTAAGGTAAGCGACAGGTAAGCCGGTCCATAATAGTTGTAGTGCTACTCAGAGCCTTAAATCACAAAAACCTGAGAGGCACTGCCACTGCGTCCGTCACCCTGAGACATAAGTTGCAAATTCCCATGTGGCTGTAATTTCACCAGTACCCTTTACACTTTACTACTTGGTGGTAGATATAGGTAAGCTCGCAGTACTGCATACTTAATTTATAGCAACATTTACGTTGCAAAATATCTAGAAATTCCAAAGAGTTTTACGCCGCTAATATAAGTTAAATAAATTTATAATGATGGTTTAATCGTATCCCCCTTCAAATTAACCGGCTAAGGAGAAAGACGGCGGTGACATAGAAAGTCTGTCTTTTCGGCTAAATTAGTATTTAACAACTGTTTCCACTTACAAAAAGTTTAACAGTAGTAAAAACTGGTTTTAATGGCAACACTGTGCCGGACTGTATTTCGCTTTACTTTATGAGCCTGTAGCAGAGGATTATGTTAAAGGCGCTCAAACTAGTCCGAGACGTCTCGCTGTCGTTTGCGACGCCAAACTACATCTAGCCAAGCCTACTTAAGACTTATTAACCGACTTCAAAGAAGGAGCAGGTTCTCAAATAGACTGTATTTCGATGGGTCTATTTTGGTTGGAAAGAGGGTACCTCATTATTGGTCCCACTTAAATTTGAAGGAAATATTCCATCTCTAAGGGTGGCAAACTAGGCGGTTTCGCGCACTTTTCGGTAACCAATTTCAATAAAACTTGGCAAATAGATGTAATTTCACGAACTTTTGAGGTTTCAGTTTTTTTTATAAAAAAGTTACAATTCTTTTTTTTATTCTTAACTCCATATTTACGGATCATTTCGTAAAGACCATTAAATATAAACCACAATCAGACGTTACGGGTTTCTTATAGATGCAATTGTAAGCTTTATTTGGAGAGATTTGTTAATTGCAAGTGTTGTGTCGTTAGCACGAAGATAATTTCGAGACGCAGTCAATAGAGATCAAAATATTGAGCCAGACAATCACACCAGTTACTTGTTCTCAAACTAGGGAATTCCCTGTACTATAAGTACCAGAACAACGGAATCCACTCCGGGGCACTACTCATCATCACCATCAACCCTATTTTAGTAGCAGTAGAGCTCCTTGTGAAAGAGTTCGTCTAGGGAATACTGCCACCTTATCTATTTCTGTCGCCAAGCAGTAATGTCAGCATTACTGTGTTCCGGTTTTGAAGGGCAAGGGTGCTGGTGAAATTGCAGGCACATGGGATTTGTCAACTTATGTCTCAGGGTGTCGGGCACAGTGGCAGAGCCCCTCAGATCTTAGCGATTTAAAGCACTGAGTGGCACTACAACTATTTTGGACAGGCGTGTAGCTTACCATCAGGTACACGACTTGTTCGTCCCGTCACTTGTTATTAACAAAAAAAAAACCATTTGTACGTCCCACTGCTGGACACGGGTCTCTTTTCAGACGGGATTTAGGCCATACTCCGCCACGCTTTCCCAATGCGGGTTGGGGACTTCACTCGTTTTCCGAGGGTTGTGAATCTTCTACGATGGATTCATCGAAAATCTAATCAATCTCGTACATTATTTCCGAGAAACTCAGAGTAGCGAGGCTGGATTCGAAACCACGGCCTCTGTTTGAGAGGTGGTAGGTTAAACCATTAGGTTACCACGGCTGACGGGTACACGGGCTACTCGGGTACTACCCAATTACAAACAACAACAACTTATGCAACTTAGAATCAATTTAAAAAAGTTCATGTCCTGAATCCGGGATCGGACCCGGGACATCGCACCGTTGCACCGCCGAGGCCGTCCAAAATAATGATTAGATGACTTACTGTTCGTCATCAATGAATTTAGTGTCGCTCCTATTGCCGTGCCTGTCCACAAGCGTGATGGCCACTTTTCCTACATCCGGCCCATGTATGTTACTCTCCGTGGAATTTGATATTTTCAGAGTTACTTCATAGTGTACTCCTGGAAGTAAAAAATATTTGTTTAAAAGGGGTGAAATTTTACTCATCATAAATACACTATTACAATTTCTGGAAGTACGCGTAATATTTTTAAATTACTTATTTTTTTTCAAAAATTTCTAACCTTAAAAATCCTGCCCTGTATCGTGTCTGGTTGAAAACGTTTTCGTCAAGTTTTTCGAAAAACGAGATAATTTTGAATTGTTTTACTTATTTAATCGTAAGTGCACCCTGATTTCATACACGTGTGGTCGATTTTTGTCAAACATGCAGATATTCTGAGCTCTAAATGTAATATAGATAAAATTTTTATAAAAATAAAAATGTTTTTGCTTTGTTTGACTGTTCACATAACTTTGTTGCCTAAAGATTTAAGTACAACATTAACTTGCGATTAGAACAACCCAAAGTCTGTGTACCGAATCAATATTGACTAGTGTTGCAACGAATGATATATTCGGCACCGAATATACGGCCAGAAGCGCGGCCGGATGGAAAAAATATTCGGTCAAACTGTCTTTTTTTTATTTATTTATCGTATTATTTATTCGGCCTGATTAACGAAAATTGGAAAAATATCTTTACTAACTTCAGTTATGATAAATAATTTTGTACAAAGAAACAGTGAAGGTACTTTAAAGTTTCAAGTTTATGATTCAAATTTATAACTTAATGAGGAAAGCAATTGTTTATTTCACTTCAGTTTAATTAAGAACTTAATTTTGTTTTGGTTTGCAAGTAATTAAGTACTTGGTTGATTTTGTTAGCATATATTTAGTCAAGAGTAAACTACATAATAAGTACAAAAGTAGTTTTCTCTTGATATGTCACCTTTTTTAATCTCTTAGAAAAACAACTTAGTTATGTTACACAGTTACGCATCTTTTAGATAAAGAAGCGAAAAATTGCGCTTTCGCGAACAGACAAGGTACGTTCAACATTAATAAAACTTACATGATAATTTACTGTATTTTTCTTATTTCTTCCTCTTGCTTTTAGGTAATCGGCTGAACAGCAATTAAATATTCGGTATTCGGCCGGATAACAAAAAATAGGCCAAATAATCCAAAATACCGAATAGTAACCGAATATTCGTTGCAACTCTAATATTTACAGATACTTACTGCAATAAGGTTTAGTACTGCCAGTCTGAGAGTACAAAGTAATGTGGTTACTCGAATCAACGTATCCCGCCATGTGCAAGCGCTTGTAAATGCTGTACGAGTGGTATCCCATGGGAATGCAGTAGTGGTGTTGGTCGCAGGTTGTGCAGTTGCCGGCTAAGAATGCCTGTGGAACAATATTAGTGATAAAACAACTGATCTAAGTGTACACCATACAACCAAGTAAGTGGAATTCTGAGGGTTGTAGGTGGGAAATAAGGGTCATCTCAAAGCGCGATGCATTAAAACGACTCATGCAATGTAAACTTTACATTCTAAAAGATAGACTAATATTTCTTACAAAAAATGGAAAAGAAGGTGCAATAAGTGCGCCGTGCGCACTTTGTTAATACAATATAATATACAACATATACTCTATACGTTTCTTTGAATACAAAATGAGAAAAGATTTAAAATAAAAAAGAAAGAAGAAACTCTTCTAACGGTTGTAACTAAGGGAAACAGGTTATGAAATCTGGACGTTACTATTAAATAACGGTCTTACAAAAAATATCACCATCGTCATCAACCCTTTTATACGTCCCGCTGCTGGGCACGGGTCTCCTTTCAGACGAGGGTTTAGGCCATAGTCGGCCATCCTGGCACAACGCGGGTTGGGGACTTACGACAAATACACCTAAGGATATTATCTAAAGAATGTGCTAATGTGTTCCGATCCGATAATCCGATCATATCAAATGATGAAAACGGGATAAAATAAAAGTATAAAACGAATTATTTAAGAATAAAATATCTAACTTTGCACATAATTTTTATACGCTACAGAAAACCTGCAAAATTTTGGTTATCAACTGAAACCCTATCAGTTATTAAATTCACATTTATCTCAAAATTTGCAAATTGCCCAGTGGTTTAACAACGGCCGCGCCGCCCACTGCCCCGTCGTCGCCATCGAGCGTCAAATTTCCTCCGCCGGCTCTCATTTTGTTTATATTAATTTACAGCGCGCGGATTGCGGGACGCGGGTGGCGACCTCCACACCTAAAATGTAAGCTCGCGTTGAAATACTTCGCCTTATAGCCCAAGCGTCGTCGGAGACTAGAGGCGACATAATTATAATTGTGAAATGCTCAGTAAAACTACACTTCAAATATTTTGTTATTGCAGAAGAAAACTGATAGGTAGGTAACGTAATATGTAATATCAAAAAACTCAATTAGCTTCAAATAGCAACACTTACGTCATAAGACTCGCACTGTATAGCCATAAAAGGACAACTCGGCGCTATGCTCTCGGTGAAAAACTCATAACTTCTCTCGTGGTCGCAGCTAACGTACTTCACGAGTCCTTGGTACATGTCGTTACTGCCTTGAGGAGGACCTGAAGAAGATTGCTTGCAGCCTGGCTGCGAAGTTCCACCGTTGGGATAGAAATCCACATGTCCTATTGGTTCTGTTAAGCCGAAACCTGGAACAGGCAGTGCCTTAGGTTTGTGAGCTTTTCAATCAAGTTCATTTCTGATAGTTAGAAATGCAGATATTTTTATGTGACGATATTTTGCATGGTAATTCTGCACCTATTATACTTTCCACTTCTGGACACGGAGAGTTAGTCATTTGAAATGTATACTGCTGGAGGCGAACGCAGAAAATAAACTGGGTTTATTTTTATGTGATTCATTTATGATACAATTTCCCCGAAGCGCATGGAAAAAATGCATGAAAAAACAATTAGCTAAAATTTGCTATTTTGCTCGAGTTTTTTGTTTTTGACCATACGAACGATGTCATGTCACGATGTGATGAAAGGGCACTGCCACTGCACCTGGCACCCAAAAACATAAGTTGACAAGTCCCATGTGCCTGTAATTTCAGCACCACTCTTATCCTTCAAAACCGAACGCAGTAATGCTGACAGTACTGCTTGGCGGCAGAAATAGCAAAGGTAGCAGCACTTCCCTGGACGAGCGCTTTCATAACAAGCGCTTCTGCTACATACTTTATTTTTTCAAAGATTTAATCTGCACTAGGTTCGCGGAGTAGCTAGCAAATTAATTTACTTCCATTTTTATTAACATGGATTTCCGCAAGATAATACCTGAGCCTATAAATTATTTAATTCTAATTAATTATGAAGTATAATTACACTAAACACACCTGAAAAATACAGCGGATTAGCATTACTGTGAATAATATCCACGTATTGGGCATCCGATCTGTCCAGTCGCACTAAAGTTCCAGTCTTGCTAAAGTATGGCGCTGCTGGGTCTAAACCTGTGATCCTTCCCAGTTTTAGGTTGAATTTCTGTAATTCAAAACATATTCAAATGAATTTTGATGCGTGAAATACTTATTAGGATATATGACATTATTATTTATAAGGTTTGGAAGGCCTAGGTACATTACGGTGGGTTTAAAAATTTATTATGCTTTAAATGAGAATTACGCGCGCCTGACAAAAGAAATGTAATTAAAATTTTGACATTAACTACTCAATCTCAATTTAGAAATAAATATCAAGGGTCGTGGCGTGCCAGATTAAATCCAATTTTAATCATACAATTTCAAAGGTACAAGGGCAAAAAAACTCAAAAATTTAGATGACAATGAGTTTAGTTAGGAATGAAACTATTTTTCCGGATTTAAATCGCGTATATTTGTTTTTTCAAACAAACCGACGTTTCGGGCCCTTTACAGGTCCCATGGTCACGGTTGAAAAAACAAATATACGCGATTTAAATCCGGAAAAATAGTTTCATTCCTATGTATAACAATCGCGAAAACCTAAGAACTCGAAATGAGTTTAGTTATTAAATTTTTTTCTAGTATATAAAATACTAGCTGGTGCCCGCGACTTTGTCTGCGTAAAATAATTACTTCGAGTAGCCTAGTGTACTATACTAATTTTCATAGTTTTATTGGTTTTCCAAACAAACTTATTTCACCCCTTTTAAGATTTATTATTGTGAAAAAAAGTAGCATGTCGATGCCTTACTTTCTCTAACTCGTATCTCGTAAGGGTGTTGATTTCGACTATACTCGTAAGGGTTACCACCCTTACGAGTATGGTTGGAGTATTTGGATGCATATGCATACTCACAAAAACCAGTTTGTGAGTATGAAGGAAATGTGACGTGAAATCAGCCTGCAAAATTTGTATATGCAATTCATTTTTTGCATTTCAGTAACTTTGTGCTTTAAGATACGAGTTTGAGATAGTAAGGCGGCGATATGTCCTTATCCTAAAGTCATATCTATCTCTATACAAAAATTCATCGAAATTGGTTCAGAGGTTTAGGCGTGAAAACGTAACAGAGTTACTTTCGCATTTATAAGTTTGGATATTCTAGATACATTTTAAAAAATCTTGTTCCCGGAAAATAATAATCTTTTTAACTTAAAGTTTTTATCTACATAACTATGACATAAACATAAATACTACGCGCCCAAATATTTCCAAACAAGTGCTATCTTGCTGACGCACCAATATACATATACACATATAGAGAGACGTCATCAATTTTATCAAATAGGTACCAACTGGCCTGGGAAGGCTATTTTCTTAACGGGAATAGTCATGTACTCATAGCCCTCCTCACCGTATACGGCTACAATTCCTACCCTTAGCATATTTAAGCCATATGGACCTTTTCTATTTTTATTTTCATTTTTGTTTCTATTATTTTCACATAATTCGTTATCTTGTTTTTTTTTTCGATTTTTGTTTTTTGTTTCTTTATTTTTTTCAAAATTCGCGGAGATTAATATTAGTAAATAAATATGGCTGTTTACAAAAATAACAGAAAATGACAAAAACGTAGTTGTTCATTGAAGATATCGGTGTGATCATACGTCAAAAGTGCTTTTATCACATGAAAGTCATAAAAATAATAAGAATTACAGGAGATTATGCATTATGTAAAATTTTATAACTCTCGTATTTAAGCATACAAAAAGTTATTGACTAATTAGTTGATAAGTTTTTTTAATTAAATTTAATTGTATCGTTAAACATCTCTCCTGAAAAGTTGTCATTTTGCAGATGTGCCCTTATTACACCAAGGCTGCGAATGATCTCACCACGTCATACTTAAATCGAACTATGAGCGGCTTGTGCGAATCAGTTTTTTGAGTAAGGATGAGGAGGTCTCAAGATTTGTTAAAATTGGTTCTAATACCCAGTATTCTGAATTATTATCAGTGATCGGAATTGATAGAATTAATTTAACTAAAGTTTGAAGTATGTATGGACATACCCATTTCGTCATCAATGCGTATAAAATTTCATTTTTACTGTTTATTTTCTAAACATTCCAAAATATAGGTGGTCTCATGTTTAGTTTTCCAATGGCCAAAGTATTTAAATACGTAAGTACCCAGAGAAACACAACTACAATATTATTTTTTGAGAAAATAATTTGTAGCAAATACTTAATGAGAAATAATAATTTATCGCCAATGTACTAAATATCATGAAATAATACGCATATTTAAATTTACTCATTCCGAGAAGTCCCGGGATTTGTAGAAGGGAATGTCCACATTATTCTTTAGTTTAGCTAAATTGACTCCCTCAATTCCGATCACTGATTATTTATTACAAATGTAATTTCGCTCCGAAGGCGTAATTTCGACACCGTAGTTCTCATAGTATGGAGAATCTTCTAGTATGATTCCAGGTAATTGGTTTCTTAAAAATAACCTATAAAGTTCAATAATAGAATTATTGAAGCAACTATGTCGCACACCAGCTTCAATAGAGTTATAAGTATTTTTACAAAAATAGTATTTCTTTAGTTTTGTTAGAAACGCGTACAAAAACTACCCTACATTTCGGTAAAAAAGTGGGTAAATCATGACACCATTAATCAGTCTTAAGTCAGTTCACTATTGACGACTATCGACTGGTTATTTGTTATAAAACGTATCTGTCACATTTTCGAGTTGAGTCAGTGTTGAAGCCGATGTCCGATATAATCCTTCATATAGGACAAGCAAACTCACTCTTTGCAAAGCATGTCCACAGTACCCTCCCAGGTGCGCGCCTAGTGAGTGTCCAATAAAATGGAAGTTATCCAGGTGAGACAACCCTAGTACATCCTGCAACATAAATAACAGATTGTTATTAATAGGACATATACATTACTGTATCTGCTAAGGGCAATACTACAAAAGATATAATACCATAATTAGCAATACTCACGTAAATATTCTTAATCAAATGGGCAGTCATAACCCCGACCAGCCTGATGTTGGCCGTGGCTTGCCCGTAAGGTGGCTGTGAACCACCACGCCAGTCCACAGCCAGAACCGTTGCAGGTTCGTTGCCTTCTAGATTTAGGAGGGCATCGACCATATTGTGGATCTGATTGAAGAATAAATATGTCAGTAAGTAACTAAGTAACATAAGCTTAAAAAATCCTAATAAGGGTAAATTTAAATTGACAAAAAGATTGGACGAGAAAGCCAGCGACATTGACGGATGGAAGAAACTGCCCGAGATGGACTAACTGCCCGAGGAAAAACTACCAAAAATTCATTTATATTTCAATTAAGACCATGGCGGCCCTGTATGAAGAGTCCAAGGAAAAAATTATCAAAGTCAATTGAGTATTTTAGGAAAAAATAATTTTTAATTTGAAGAACTTCTAAATATTGGTGTAAAGGCACCCGCGGGCAAAGCAAGCGAAAGTGTGCCGTAAATAAATCAAGACTTTCTCGCACCCATCTTCTTACATATTTTTTTGATTTAAGATAATTTGGTGCTTCTATAAAGTTACGTCTGCTCTGGTCGTCGCTTAGTTCAAAACCGTAATATTCTGCAATACTGCTTTATTAATACTGCGTTATTGGCAGCGATTTTTGAGAAAGTTTGTAGCACCCCTGGCGATTAAAAGAAGAATTAAAATTTTCAGTACAACTATTTTACTGCGCCCATCACCCTGAGACATAAGTGAAGTCCCATGTGCCTGTAATTTTAACAAGCACCCTTCAAAATCGGACCACAATAAAGCTGTCGTTACTGCTTGGCGGCAGAAATTGGTAAGGTGGCACTACTTCCCTGGACGAACTCTTTCACAGGGAGCTCTACTGCTGCTGAACTTACGCGCGATTAGTAACAAAAATTATTATTACTCCAATAATCGTGAAATACAAATAATATTTTCTTATATTATCGATGATCTTATACCTCTATAATATATACTCGAATATTTAAATAATAAGAATTGCCACAGAAATTAGGCAGAGAACACTAATCATAGTATGGACCCGTTGGGGTACACAATATTATGACCTCATCAAAAGTATAACTTACCCAAGTTTTATGACCACCTTCAAGGAATCCATGGGAGATTAAGTAGAACGGTCCTCGAGCATCGAAGTTGGCATTCTTGATCCTACTAGTATCGTCTGCCTGAAGGAGAACTGGTATTTTCCGGTTTCTTCTGGTAAATGCCGCGTATCTGTAACAATAAAGACATTAATAATAACACTTAGTATACTACTGAGAACATAAATGCATACACGCTAGCTTAGCTATTTCTGCCGACAAGCAGTAACGTTAGCATTACTGCGATCCGGTTTAGAAGGATAAGGGTGCTGATGAAATTACAGGCACATGGGACCTGTCAACTTATGTCTCAGGATGATGGGCGCAGTGGCAGCGCCTCTCAGATCTTTGCGATTTAAAGCTCTCAGTGGCACTGCAACTGTTATGGACAGGTTTGTAGCCTATTACCAGGCGCACGACTTATTAGTCACTTGATATTATAAAAAATGTCTTTATAAAAGCTTCATTAGCTTCTTAATGAATATGTTTCACAAAATAATATGTCCTTTAAATATGACCCTCTCCAAAATTCACCATAATGTGCCTTATAAGGCCCCTATTATTAAATGGCTCCTAAGTTCGGTGTCCATAGGCAGAGATATCACTCGGATTTTGCGGTGCATCTTAAGTTTTCTGTTACTGATTGTAATCATCGGCACCTTAGATGATACCATCTCAAGTAGAGGTAGGCGTTTAAACGAAAAGCACTTTTAAAGTTTGCTATTTAAAATAAGTAGTTAAGCACGCTTTTTTAAATAGCTACAACGTTTAAACGTTTAGAAAAACAAGCAGCTTTTCCCATCTCAAGTGACCAAAACGCTTCACTTGATTGATGACTTCATAACTTCTACTAATAGCAGTAGAACTCCGTGTGAATTAAATTGTCCTGGGAAGTGCTGCCACCTTACCTATTTCTACCGCCAAACGGATTACCGTTTGGCGGTAGAAATAGGTAATAAGTAATTCTTACATTAGTAATTTATTAATTACTAATGTAATATTAATTACATTAGTAAGAATTACTGCGTTCCGGTTTTGATGGGTAAGGGTGCTAGTGAAATTACAGGCACATGGGACATGTCAACTAAGGGTATCACCACACTTATTAATGCAGAATCGCATTAAGCGGATCAGAGAAAGCTTTATGTCCATGAGCGAAAATGATTTGTGCATTTCGCATCGGTTCGTAAGAACGTGACTCGACACAGGTCGACAACGAATCTGCTTCCTGCGAATTTCCGGTCCTGTCTTGCGACTTGGGCTTTTTCAAGACGAGAGTAAATAGGATTATTTAAGTGTGCATGCTCCATCGTCGACCTCATCGTCACTTCCCATCAAATGAAACGGAAGTTAAGTAAAAAATAACCTATTTATATAAAGTAACAGAAGTATACCAAGTAAAATAGCACTCGATATAAGATAAGTACGTAACGTCTGAAATTTAAAAAAATATAGAAATAAAAAAACATGGACATAATCGCGTATAAAACCGTTCGTCAATTTGTTTTCGCTTAAAGGCATAAACGTCATAGTGCAATTAGTGGACATATATAGGTACATATTTGTTTTGTCTCTGGGCTGATTGATTGATGTCACGGACGAGCCCCCAGTCTTATCTCTAGACATGACACGGGGTGAAGAGAATTGGACATCTTTTTGTTGGACATGTCGGGCAAAATTAATTACGTACATTGTCGCTCGATGTTTTTAAAAAGTAACTCAGAAAGTTACTTAAATATACTAAACATATTTTAGTATTTTTGAGAACATGCCACACACGATACGTATCGTGTGTGGCACGTATCGTGAGTATATAATCTTTCATATTAGACACCATGCCAGACAACCTAAAGAGCAAGTTTCACCAGTCGCATACGTATGCGGTAATTTGCTCTTTAGGTTGTCTGGCACGGTGTCTAATATAAAAGATTATATTTCAAAGCTGTTCTTTGCGTGATGGTATGAATCATAACATATTTGGTAGAAGTAGGTATACACAGCTACTCGCAATATAATATTGGCTGACATTAGATAACCAATAGAAAAATAATCTATCAAACATGCAAGTACGTAATGCTAAATAAGCAATATCATGTCATGAACAATTATGTATTTTCCTGGGCAGCCTGTATAAACATGAAAGCGGATCTCAGCATAAAACGTGGACTTTGATGTCAACAACAAGGGCAATTAATAATATCAGTACAGAATGAGAAAAATAACATCTTATCTATGACATATGCAGTTGCTTGCCACGCCCCCCAAGTACCATATTATTATCATATAATAAGGGTCTCTATGAATTGAAGCTTTAATCTAAGACAGTTGGTATATATGTATATTGACTTTATTTAAAAATGGGTTTATTTACAATTAATATAAACTTACACCCCAGTTTTTAAATGTGAGATTACTCAAATGATTTTTTACTTATTTAAATGTAGCTACAAACAATGATAAACTAGAATGGCGTATATTTTTTTGCAAAGCTTAATCGAGCCATATGATATAATTAATGATATGCCATAGCCTGTAGCATGCTTATCTCTTTTATTGTTGCGGAATCATGTTACCAATTATTGTGAACGTATGTGCTTATTACGCAGAGATAAAATACTATTTTGGAAATAAGAGTTTTATTTAATGTATGTGCAATAATTATAAAATTTGTTATGATACGTAAAAGAGACCGCTCGCCCGGAAGGTGGGTTAATGACACCTATTATTAATGAGAAACTAAGAACTCGATAAGTAAAAATAGTTAAAGTAAATTTTTATATTTGTGCAAACGAAACCGAGTATTGATCATATGAAAGCGTGCACTTAGTGAGATAGCGGGAGTACCTGGCCAAATTATAATACTTTCCAGCCTATACATACAACATATAGCTACCGCACTAAACTTGAAAAGCTCTACTATAATAGTATTAAATTGTAATTTCGATTTAATGTAATTGCTAATTATTTACTTCATTAATAATAATAATAATTTTCCGTTAATAAAATTCAATTTAATTGTTATGTAATGAGTGTAATAAGTAATGTTAAATTTATTAATGGGTATATCCTAAATAAAGAAACATTTTTTTTACCTTAAACCTTATTAAAACCACTTTAATAAGGTTCAATACCTATTAAATAGCCAAGCTAAACAGTCTGTGCTACAAGAGTACCTACCAGTATATAACAAGATCTTTATGGTTGCAGCTTCCGCTAAAGAGGTCTAGAAAACTAACTATAAAACCAATTTTACTACCTATAAAATTTCTTTATTAAATTCAATAACGTAAAACTTATTACTATATATATTTATTTATTTTATTAGGTTTTTTGCATAATGTAGACCCCGCGACTTGATTTTATTATTTTTTTAACTATTTACTAGTATTAAATGATTTTATTTCGATTTTATTTCACATTAATCATCGTACCATCATCGTCATTCTACGTTCTATTACTGCTAGGCCCTTAACCGCCACGCTACCTCAATGCGGGTTGGGGCACTCGACATGTCTTTCTACGTGTTCTGAACTTTCTCCTACAAGCAGGATGATGTTTTTCCTTTACAATTTACCGAGAGGTATTGATATTAATCATACACAAATGTAAGTAACACAATAATTAAAGCCATACATGACGCTACAGGGATTCGAACAGTCAACCTCTCGATTGAGACTAAATCCGCCGTTCTCCCATTAGGCTACCAAACTGGTGCATATCAAATATGTACTACGGGCATGTTTTTACTAGCAGAAGAGTACTAGTAAAGTACTGCCAATTTACCTATTGTGAGCGTTTGAAGGGTAAGGGTGCGGCTGGTGAAATTACAGGCACATGGGATTTGTCAACGTCTTCAGGGTAACAGGCGCAGTAGTGTCCCTCAGGACTTTGCGATTTAAAGTTCTGAGTCGCACTGCAACTGTCATGGACAGGCGTGTCGCTTACCACCAGGCGTACAACTTGTTCGTCCCGTCACTTGGTATAATAAAAAAATACTAGCCAAAGTGAAAACTACCTACTTTGCCTGTACTATAATAGTATTAGAAAAACAGTGCAAACTCACTTTACGCCCATAGCTTCAGGTGAGACAGGAAAGTAGTTGTCAGGTCGGTGCTCCAACCAAGGATAAGCCTTGCTAAAACATCCGTACTCGCCGTAGCATCGTTCCATTTCCGCATCGTCTAATAAAAGAGGAATTAGCATTAGTCCATTGGATTTGTGAGATATAATTATATGATAATGATGTGTAGACATAATGATAACTAAGCATTGAATAAATAAATAAATAATAAAAGCATCAAAAATAAGTTTCTTCTATTTAAGTAATAATCACCAATCACATGTATGACATCAATTACACAATCAGATGTAATTCTGTCTTTTTCTTGTATTTTCTTTTAGCTTTGACTTTTCTTTACATTTTACTTGTTTTGGGTTTACCTGAATTTATAAATACCTACCATTGATATTGTTTGACTTATTTTGCGAAAAATCCTAGGATCCACTCAAAGGGAGGATGGCAGGTAAAGATAAAAAATGGACTTGGAAATCGAGGATGTCCGAGCACAATGCTACTCGTACAAAGATCGGAAACATGGAGAGAATGGTAGTAGATCGTGCTGGGAAAAGAGCATACTTGTACTGTACTGGTGAGCACGTGCAGAAGCGAGGGGCGTAACGAAATTTGATGTCGGCGAAGAACTATAGGCAATTGCGCTACCGAAGTATAGGTAACGTTTTTGCCAATGGTGATTATGGACATCACCATACTTACAATCACAGAATCTGCTTAAACCATGGGTTCTGAAACTTTTTGCCCACCACCATAAAAAATAATTGAAAGAACGTATTTTTTATATTAACATATCACAATAATCTCAGTACTAAAAAACTAAAAAACGGACCTCAAAAGTACGTGGAATTACGTCTATTTATCAAGTTTTATTGAAATATCCCCTAGTTCGCCACTATACGGGACTTGACACAGGAGATTATAAAAATCGGTTCTCACTACTCAAAGCATATTGAAAGAGAAAAACGCCTTGAATTGGAGAATAGCAAAATCAACCATTAAAATAATTGCTCCTTATAATAAAATGAAGGCGCTATTTATAAAAATGAATCTTTTGAAGTTACCTATATTATATTAGAAGGTGGAGTAATATTGGTATCGTTAGTAGAACCAGTATTTTAAATTTTCATCCGCATGGCAAAGATCATTAATAATAAACAAACAAACAACGTCTTACAATCGCTTACAATGCAAAAATGTCATTTATGCAATTACGTGTAAATACATTTATTACTTAGTAAACATTCGTCTGAAGTTCGTGTAAATTAAACGCATCTTTGTTTTTGAAATTCTAGTAATCTTTTATCAGCAATTCTTAAAACGTAAATTAATTTTATTTTTTCAGTTACGTTAAATATTTTACTTTTCATTATTATAACATAGATAAATAAGATTTTTTAAAATTTAGTTTAACATTTATAGTACCTCTTGTTACATATATTTCTTTTAAAATTCTATTGAACATTTCTCTGTAAATGTTGTAATATGTTTTTTTATTATGTGTGACTATATGCACAATTTTAATTTATTATTACAATGCTTATAGTCAGTTTTCTCCGGCAACCTACTGGAATGAACAGTCATCTTCAAAATAAGTTTTCAAACACTTTATTGTATTAAGTATAAAATATTTCACATTTTTTAAATTTAGTTTGACATTTGTCAGTATTTACCTCTTGTTACATAATTAAATAATTCTTTTTAAATTCTGTTAAGCATTTCTCTGTAAGTTTTGTAATTTTTTTTTTACTGTGTGACTATTTGCGCAATTTTGTATAAAATATATTTGTCGAATGTGTGTGTTTTTTTCCCGACTACCTACTGGAAAGAGCTGTCGTCATCAAAAAAGATTCCGATAATCAAAAACGCTTGCCAGGCGCACTTCGTATGGCTTCAAATGTATAGTATGAAGAATAGCATGAGTAGTCTAGAGGGAAAAAAGAAAAAAATACTTGCATTATAATTACTAATGACAAATTAAGAATAAACTATTACTGACAAATATTTACTGAACAATAGCCAAGTATCTTTATAAATGTTTCAGGAGTGAGTAGTGCATGACAGGACACATATCGTTTTCAGTGAAATATGAGCCGGTTTCATTTGCAAATAACGTTAAAAATATGTACGTGTGTGTAACACCAAAAATTATCAAAAGCGCAAAAGTTGGTGAACAGTAAAAAAATACTAAAACCAAAATACTAACCATATCCATTTGGAAAATTGGTGACATGCGTAGAGTTCTGTTTATCCATCAAAACCATAATGGTTTGCAGCATCAAAGTCGCACTTGTAGTTCTGTTCATTTTTATCAAAAAACACGTCTCACTGTTAGTCAATTCCAAACCTCACTTTACAAGGAAATAAGTGTGTGCTGTACAACAGTGTACGTCAATGTGTTATCAAATTTTGTTTTAGTCTGTAATATGATGTTTTTAACCCGTTAGACAATGGGACGTTCGCGCTGAAGAGTTGAATTCGTAATGCTACTGCTAGACATGTTTACTCGCTTATATACTCTTTATAAAGAGGGTGTCAGATAGATCTATACAAAATATATTTTTACGCGCGAATGATTATATAGACTATAGTGTAATTAGACTTTTAAAATAATAGGCATACATGATATATAGTTCAATAGAATAAGTAATCAAAATATGTATCGCTCGTTGAGAATAACATTGTCACTAAACGTAACTGACCTTAACCCAATAGGTACTTCACTTATTTCTTCAACGTGCGTTATATGTAAAAGTATATTATTGTATATTGTGCTTCTACTACTTTTTTCGGCCCTGGACTTATTCAATTGTTGAATGACTTTGTAATAAAAGTACCAATAAGTACCTAGCTGAGTGAAGAAAAACTTTCATTGATTTCTCACAAATGGCGCTATGGAAAAAACAAAGATCTGCAACAATGTAACAATCAAATGTAAAATTCGTAAGGTCGGGTAGTTTGTTCCGTAGCTTAGTTGGGAGAGCGTCAGGTGCGGTATGGCGAAGTCGCTGGTTCGAGTCCAGCCGGATTGGATGTTTTCATATTATTCGATATTTGTAATTAATCATTATAACAGAAAAAAACACGTCAAAACATTTAATAAAAAGAACACCACGCGTTCAAGTCTATCTACATATTTATTTATTCCTAGGTGAAAAACCAATATATACCTTCATTACTGTTCAAACAACCTTTGAACATTCCAGTCAGCAGGCAAACGACCCAAAAATAGACTGCAAGAAAGTGCTTCAGCAGCACTACTCAGCAAGACGAACGACCGAAAACCAGGCTGAAAGATAATGCTTCAACGGCATTTTACACCGACGAGACACTTCGATTTTAGAGACTTTTTTTGTAATAGTGTGGGTTAATGTAAATTTGTATATATATAGCAATTAATTTATTATTAAAATTAGTATTTGAATAGCAGTTGAGTTTAATTTATCTCCTGCTAGCATCCTCTCACTGTGGCCAAGAGACCTTTAGCCATCAGTAGATCGGTCTTGTGAGTCTGTGTGACCGGCATTGAGAATATCCATCCCAGTACACCCTTATTTCCTTCCCCAAGTCCGTCTGTTGCCTTAGGTCTAACGGCGCAGATATCCCGTACTTATCTATATATTTATTCAGCACACTTACATGGTCAGGGCTAGGGCCTGTTAGGGTACTTAGGGTGATAGGCACACACCTAAGGACGCTAGGGTTCTTCTTGCCATACCTTATTAAGTTCATTCCTGTACAGTTTGTCGACAACCACAGACATGCGCTAGTCGACAGTTTGTACAATTACTATTAATAAAAATAAGAATAATAAAAACATTCAACCAATTATATAATAAGAATTCCGATTATAGTTCCATAAAAATGAAAGAGGAGCGCTAAATATGAACAAACAAAAAACACATACACAACAAGGACTAGCATAAAGAGCAATACCTGCGTCAGAAGAGTATGAATTATTCAATAAAATGGCTGTGAATTTTCGCTTTATTACATTCACAATACCATTGAATACGTCAAAATCAAGATCATGATTGCTCATCACACTGGCCAAGTCTTGCTAGCTCTACAAAGAAAACCTATGTACGCGCGAAGAGGGGTGCGGGTAACGTCTACTAGAACCCCGTAGGCAGGTATATAGTACACAATAAGTCTGGGCAATCAAACTCACCATGTGTAATGTCAGAATATATGGACAATGTCAGCGAATATTTAGGGGTAATAGATGCTGATCCGTATCGAGACGTAAGTACTCGGATTCGTCTTCTTATCCTATCGATAGCATACACTATAATTGCCATTGTGTTGAAAACAATTGCCAATCGGCGTAAGCCGTTGGCCAGGGAGTACCAGACCTACAAGAAAGGGATGATCCGTCGTGCAGGGAGGCTTCTTTGGTGCACCCCATACTCGAATTAATCACATCACTTACTCATTGTATAGTATAGAGGAAGTAGTTCAATAAATTATTTCGAGATAAAATTAATATCTCGGATTCTCGAATTTGGTATTTATCTTTAGTAGCCGGACTTGTCGTCACATTCTGTTCATGGTTGACCATCTCCAAACTTAGTGAAGCTGCCGACACAATAACACGTGCAGCTACCAGTTTTTATCTGACCATTATTGGTTCAACATGAGACGAAAACAAATTTTTGTTCTCCTCGGCTTTACTTTAAAAGAAACATTTGACATTGTTAGTCTGTCGGCTTGACTTGTCAAGGTTTCCATTCTTAACTTTTCCATCTTCTAAGGTTCTTAAATGCCTAAACATCATCTTAAACAGTTGGCCATCGAGCTTTGCAACAACTATAACCTCATTGTGTTTATAGAGTTTACAACAATTTCTATCAAATAACATTTATAAGCTTTTATCTAGCGCACTCATTGCAGAAAAGAGATTAACTTTTAGGTCTGGAACATACAAAACCGATTTTAAATTAACGACTTGCCAATCAGAGCCATTATAAGCCTGCAATCGGATGCTCCCTACGCCAAGGGCTTTTATACATGTTCCATCTCCAAGCTGCACAATATGTTCATAATCGAAATCCTTATACTCCGACATGTTTTCTTGGTTTCTGCACATATGTTGGGTGCAACCACTGTCTATATACCATATGTCGTACGAACTATTATTATCAGAAACAATTAAAGCTTGTTGATCATCATTGCTCTTATTCTTTATTTTATTTTTTCTGAGGAAGCAAATTTTAGTCGGATGACCCATCTTATTACAAAAACTGCACTGTTTAGTTTTGTAGCAGTCCTTTTTAGAGTGGCCCGTTTTGCCGCACACTACACATTTTACTGGCACTTGGCTTCCATTGCTTTTGCGCTGCGCCATAAGAGCAACTGCTACATTGTCTCCAGCGTCAGCTCGTTCTTCTTCCAATAGCAAACGTGGAATCAGCTCTTCAAGTGTCTGTCTTTCAAATGGGGCAGACTCCCATGCTGAACGAAAATGTTTAAACCTCTCAGGTAAAGACATCATCGTATTTTGGTGATAACCATTTTCATCAATAGGATGACCAACTTGTTTCAGTCTTACACGAATGTCTTCAATTTTTGACATAAATGTGGAGACAGAGTCAATGCCAAAAGCAAGAGAAAAAAACTTCTGTTGAAGTAGATGGACGCTTACGACAGACTCTTTGTCATATACTAGCTTTAACTTCGTCCACATCTCCGCCGACGTCTTACATCACTGGATGTGGGCGAGCGGCCTTTATTGCATTCGCGTGACAATAAGCTCTTGGGCCTAGCTTAGGCAACCAACAGATCCCACTCATCACGTTCTTTTTCACTGTCGTCTTTACTTCTTTTCCTTGTCCCCGAAACAATATTAAATAATCCTCGATCTTTTAATAATACTTGACTTTCAAATTTCCATAACGGCCAATTTTCGCCGCTGAATTTTGAACTGGTTGACAATGAAACCTCCATTTTGTTTTTCATCCGTTGCTCACAACATAATACCATTGCTCACAACCGTCGCTCACAACGTTTTATTTTATTGAAGTCACGGTTTTATTTTTATTTCCAGTAATCCTAAATATTGGCCTGGGCCCATAACCAGTTGTAATTTAGGGAAGATTTAGGATTACTTGAATGAAAGTGGAGTTTTAATAATAGATTTAAATATAATTCTAAGTAAAGATGTACATTATGTAGCTATGTAAGAATGACAGAAGGATATTATTTTTCTTATTACACTATTGTCTATTTATAAACTAAACTACTTTTATTTAAATTCCAACAGTAGGCATTTTCCAATATACTAAGAGCATACGCACAACATAGTATTTGGAAAGTTTCTTGGCCTTCAGAAACTGACTAAGTAACGCATTATGGCTCCAAGCGATTTAGTAGCCTTTGAGACTGTCTCTTGGATTCATGGATCATGGATTACACCCAAATTTTGTAAGATGAGGAGGTACATACAGTTTTGAACTTACATGAAAAAGCCATTGAAAAATATTTGGAGGGGTTAGTCTTTGGTTATTGTACGGCCAGTAGTCATCTAATCGCCATAGGTTAGATTTCAGAAAATTAGATCGTCAGTAAAGTGGTTTTGGCATAAATTTTTTGGCATCTTATCATCAGCAAAGCTAAGCAAATTAAAATAGCTTTAACAATTACCAATGCCATTAAAATATATATTAAAAAGTAAAGACCTTAACATAGAGCCTTGGGGCACTCCGCTGGGTATGGTTACCCAACTAGATACATTATATTCAAGAGCTTTAGATCTATTATTTATGTACGAAGAAAATCACTTGAAGGAATGATGAAAACCACAAGATTCCCTAAGGAACTTCTATCCAATTTGCAAAAAATAATATTTCAAATTGTGCGAGATGGTTGTGGGTGTCATGAATCAAGTCACATTATGAAATTTCAAATGTATTTCTTTCAGCTGTATAAAGGTCGGCAAGGTTCGTTCACATCTTTAATGCTTTCCAACTCATGCGATCTCAGCAAACTCGAATCTAATTCTAATTAAAAAACAAAACTGTTGCTATAAATTAACCCTTACGAGTTGCAAGAAACATGAGTTACCTAAGAGGTTCTAGTTCGCAGACATTCCGGAATACGCAGATAACAGGGGTTACGACGTTATCAAGTTATTTGTTGAAAACCGATTGACGCACGAACAGTCTGGCCGATTGTTTCATATAGAAGTAACTATGTACGTATTATGTACATGTTATAATTAGTCTGATATAAACACAAAAAAAAGTTATATTGTACAGTCCGGATATAAGATGTTGTGTCATGATTAGAATATTGTAATAAAAAAATTCGATTTCTATTAGCAATCAGAAATAGACAACATTGATGACAACCTTAATGCCGCCATGCCATCGCCATTAGATCGTTTTACTAAAAAGGGACGAATTTAGATTTATTATCTTCAGCATGTTCATACGAGCTGATTTGAAGTATTTTTTTTTTAAATCACAACACCCT